CCCAACCTTCCCTCTGCAAGCTGTTCCCTCTCCCCATGAGCAGCCCTGGCCTGCAGGACACAGAAAGACTCTTGCACTTGAAGACAGCTGACCTCAGCAGTGGGTGAGGAGAAGCCCCGCTGAGACAGAAAGAGCTATGAGAGTAGTGGGTTCTTTCAGAAGACCACTTCAATAGGGAAGTCACTTAGATGAGAGGTTTAAAGAGTGTCTCTTGCATTTTTAAGCCTTCAGGAGCTTTCACACACAGATAAGACATGCTGGGCCAGGCAGGAGGAGGTGGGAAGAAAGGAACGCTATGTCATAGCCTAGAATACATTTTTTCCCCCTTATTGTAAGGCTCCTAGAACATTGTTCCTGAGACACAAAGACAAGATTACTTCTCCTCTGGACCTGTGATGACTGTATCTATTGGCTTCTGTCCTGGGATGCTGGGAGATCTTGAGGGGCGTCCTCCATGGTATGAGGCAGGGCACCACTGTGGCTGCATGATAGCCACACTCGACAGTGGGGGACCAGCAGGTGTCCTGGAGCCTGACCTTCCCAGTCCCACATCTCCTTTCTCTGAGAAAGCAGTCTGGGCTGCTTGCTCCTGAACTTCAAGCCCCACTGTGGTCTGAGAACCTCTCATATTGATCCCATGCTGGAAACTTCAGTATCAACGTGGTTTTCATGTCCCTCCCTTTGCTGAGATGCCACATGACTTGAGGGCACAGGCTAGGACTTGTTCCCTTTTTCCAGCATCTTGTGTGGCATGAGGGGACACTGGGGGCATTGACAAAGAGCCCCATCAATGCCTGCCCTGGACCTTGTTCTAGGCTGGGAACACTGGTCCCTGAATTTGGGGCACCTGGCACTGGAGCTCCTAGCTCTTTGTAGGAGCCCCATTCACCTGGTCACCTGGTCACCCAGGTGAGGCTCTGCTTTGCTTGCACCCATGCTTGAGGCCCAGAAGCCACTGGGTCTTGCCCCTGCGAAGTAAGGAATCCAATTCCAGGTACTCATTATACCAGTTAGCTCATTTAACTATCCTGGTCACAAGTGCCCAGAATAGTGTGCCATCACATAAACATTCTCAGGGAATATTTGTTGAACAACATCCATGCAGCCAGGTCCACTGGGTTGTACAGGAAACAGCTGGAGCCCACCCACAGCCTGCACCCTGACTATAGGCCAGATCTGGCTCTTGGAATGCCTAGCACTCATGTCAGGGCTTTAATGCCCCCAACCAGGTATGTGGCAGTCCTGCCCTTTGCTCTGCTGGGCCACCAGTGGAATGACCCCTCTTTCCCTTGAGTGGAGTTGTGAGGATTAGCCACATTCCAAATACCTGCTGGGCTCTGGTTCAACCAGAGCTTACAGAAAATTACTTTTTGAAAAACCCACCATCAGTTATAATGGGCCCTCAGATCCCCCTACATGAGCGAGGCTAGGGAGCTCTCATATACCCTTAGTCAACTACTGATGGATGTAGCATCTGTTGGTCAAGAAGGTGATGCCAATGAATGGAGCCAGAAATGTCCAGATTGGATAAATTGAACACAGGAGTTCTGCAGTTTGAATGGACTCTTGGGCTCTGTATACACCAGACACCTTCCCCTTCTCTTTTCCACTTAGTCATCCTCAGCCTCCCAGAGCACACGTCAATTCCTCCTCCGCTCTGGACACCTGGGCCTCCTCCATGTGGCTAAGGGGGCCTTTCCAGGGCCAGGGCTAGCCAGTGCACATCCCTGCTTAGAGTGGGCTCCCCTGGGCTTGCCATGTGGTTTGCTCTGTGAAATGCCACCTCCTCTGGGCAGCACCTTTATCTCTCCCCTCTGAATCTCTGAATCCCTGGGGTCCTCTTGGTCTCAAGGCTCCTCTCCACATTACTGTGCACACACTGCAGGTAGGTGCCGCCCAATCTTGGCACCTCCCATCTAGCATCTGTTCCGTGCACATTCACCCAGATGTGTTGAGTGCTGACTATCTGACTTGCCCTGGGGCAATCAAATCCTTCATTTATTGGTCATAACAATCTAGTCAGGAAGGATATCAGGACAGAGAAAAGGAATTCTCAAAGAGAGGCGTACTGCACAGCTTGCCTGTGGGGAGCGGGCCATGGCCAGGCTCTCATGCTGACGCTGCCCTTGCTCAGTGCACCTGGCTACAGCCAGCACCTACTTGGCAGCCACGTGTGATTTGAGAGATAACCTGGGTTCAGGCTGTGGGAGGAGACAAGTTAAATGGTGTGGAGAGAGCAGAGGAACCTGGGGGGATTCCCCAGGCCACATCTCTCCTTTTGGCCTTCTCCTGGAGGCAGAGACCACTGGAGGTGGGCAGAAGCACACTTTGGTCTCTCACCAGTCCGTCATTTTGTTTCTACCTTCTATAAAAGTTCCAGTAGGCATTTTTTCCTTTTCTTCTCCTTTAGAAGAAAATGTCAAACAAAGTTTGAAGAAGTCCCAGATAGGAGTCAGGAGACCTCATTCAAGCCCTGCCTGTGGCCCTGAATGGCCAGGTGGCCTGTGTGAGTTGCTCTTTTGTGGGGCGCAGCTGGAGCACTGGGTCAGCTGGTGTTCTTTCCAGTTCCAACAAATTCTCGGCCTGGACATGGTGGCTCTGTGAGGAAGAGGCAGGTCAGAGGTGCCAAGGCACCCTCCCCTACAGTGTTTATTTCTCATGAGCTCTGGTTGTGGGTTGGAAGCCAAAGTAAGATGTCATTGGCTCTGACTGGTCCTCAGTGGAAGCCGAAGTCAGTCATAAGCTTTGTAATGCCTCCACCCAGGTATCTAGCTGGCCTACTGTAGTGTGTGTGTGTGTGTGTGTGTGTGTGTGTGTGTGTGTGTGTGGAGAGGGGGTGGGATGCAGGGTCAGAGCTGGGTTTCTCCTTCCAGGTAGGTGGCCTGGGAGGAAAAGATCTTCTGTAAACATCTGGGACACTGTTGATCAAGGTCTCAGGTCTCAGGTCTCAGGTGGGAAATAGATCCCAAGAGATCTGAGGGGCAACACAACTGTTTGTTGCTCCCAATAAACTCTGAAAATATGTTTTTTTAAACCATGTTTTATGGTGTTTGCTTATTTGTGTTTAGACTCATCCATGCACTTGGGCTTGAAGACCTTGGTATTCTCATCTGTCTGTATTAGTTTGCTTGGGCTGCTATAAGAAAGCAACAGAGAAGAAATGTATTTTCTCATGGTTCTGGAGGCTGGAAGTCCTAGATCAAGTTGTCAGCAAGGATGGTTCCTTCTGAGCTTCTCTCCTTGGTTTGTGGATGGCTGTCTCCTCCGTGTCCTCATGTGGTCTTTTCTCTCTGTGTGTCTGTGTCCTAATCTCTTATAAGGATACCAGTCAGGTGGATTAGGGACCATACACATGACCTCACTTTAGCCTCAGAAGGCCCTATCTCCAAATACAGTCACATCCTGAGGAAAAGGGATTAGGACTTCAACATATGAATTCAGCTCTTAGCAATGCTGTTGTTTCCCCCTTCGTGATTTACAGGGATACCTCTGCTCAGAGCAAAGTCCCCTCACCAGTTCACTGAGGAAATGTGGGATTTGGGCTGATCCTTTCCTGCTGTTTGTCAGTTTCCAAAGTTATGTGTGCCACCGAGCATCCTGCAGAGGTGATAAGTGAGCCTTTCCCTGAGCATCATTATGAATCTGCAGCTGCAGCACACATCTTATGATCATGAAGATAAAACCATAGGATAATAATGGTAGAGCAAGGAGATGCTAGGAACCTGAATCCCTGAGAACATTGAAAGCTGCTGTGCCAGCCCTGGACCACCACTTCAGGAAAGACTCCCTGTGATAGAAGCAGCAGTGGCCCCTCTCTCCTGTGAGTCCCTTGCAGCCCATATCTTCCTTTGGGGGCTTACAGCATGGATTTCTGTGGTTGTTTCCATTCTCCTTGGCATTATAAAGGCTGAGAAGAGAGGCTGAGTCTGTTACTTAGATGGGCTTCTGACCTCTCAGCTTCTTTCCAGTACCCCCAACCACCAGGTAACAGTAATAACTGAAATGCTAGGATCTGGTATTTGCCAAAAGGCCCCTGCAGTCTCTGCTGTAGGCCAGAAAGAAGGACAGCCACCCTCAAGGAGCCCTGCGGTTGGCTTCCTCTGGTGATGGCTTCCTGGACAGGTCTCTATTTCTTCCACCTTTAGCAGGTCATTTTGGGGAGACACTAGGCCCTACTGATGGCTAGGAAGGGATATAGTCAAGACCTTTAGGTTTATCTTTGAAGCAATACTGAAGGATCAGGAGACAGGACTGCCTAAGGATAGGCAATGCTGTTTCCTAGGGATTACCCGCAAGACCATTGAGGACTTCAGTGCATGGAGGGACTATCCTGCAGTGGTCACTTCATAGTTAAGTGGTGATGTCCTTCAATGGGGGTGAGAGGCTCCAGGGCAGGGCAGGGAAGGTGAGAGGTTCAGCATCTGGGGAGGTGGGTATTATTGCCCTGGCAGACAGACAAAGAGGCAGGCTGGGAGGTCACACAGTACCCCTTGTTCCACACAGCAAAGAAGCAGCAGCACCCAGGCCTTTCCATGCCCAACACCACACTCCTATAGCATATGCTTGCTCTGCCACACCAGTACTCCTTCTATGAATGAATGTGGTTGTGTTCCAATAAAACTTTATTTACAAAAATAGGCAATGGGCCATAGTTTGCTGACCTCTGCTCTAGGGGCTTAAGAAAATTTACATCTAAGATGAATTATATCCATATAAAATATACACATATGTGAAAGGGAAAAATAGAAAAAGCTATTTAAATGTGATAGAAATTATTAATTTGCTTTGTATTTTAAATTAAAAGTTGTCTCTGACATTGTCACTTCCAATGATAACATATATACATGCATACTCATTTAGGTACCATTTACACACAAAACCCATCACTGCTGAATGTGCATGAGTATGCTCCCTGTGGAGGACCCCACATTCTGCCTCCCCATGTCATCCTATGCCCACCCCTGCCCTGTACATTGTCTCTGAGGTGGCAGTGGGCATACCTTGTTCTCTTTGCTGATCTCTCTGCTCCATGGACACAAGGGCAGAGAAATGTGCTTGATCGTAGGCAAGAACCAGAGGTGAGCAGTGGCATCTGTTGGGAGGCACCTCCAAGGGCAGGTAAATTCCTCCAAATGGGATTGGAGCAAATGCTGTGGACAGAAATGGTGAGGGCATGTGGAGCCTGAAGAGGACATGGGAGACATCCCTCACCACCCTGCATGATGTGGTGGGACAGAAGGAAGGGAGGGTGGGCTCAGACCATGGCTTTAGGTGTTAGCTGCCCCACCTGCATGGCAGTAAGTTGGGTGTTGCCCACCTGGCAATGGGTGAGAAAGCTTAGGCTCATAGGTACCAGGGGGATGAGACCTGCAGTTCCACGCATGCCCAGGGAACCCCTCACTCCCTCCTGCCCCCATGGCAGAGTCCTCCTGCTTGTCCCTGTGCCCTGTCAGGCTGCACCCTGGAGACAAGAGGGACAGGGCCGAGGCTTTTCACTGTGATCTTCCCAGGGACAGACTGCTGCCCTGAGACCTGCACAGGTGACCAAGAACTCACCAATGACATACCCCGATGACTGCCTGGAAATCCACATTTTTGGGGATGAGCTTCTTCCTCTGCATGTATTCATGAAAGCATTTATATACAGAACAAAATCTATGCTTCTCAAGAGCTTGCTTGTTCTATAGTTTGAGAAGCTCTTCTGTTGAGTCCAAAGGAACCAACCAGAAAGCTCCAGGACCGAATTGTAAGTCAGATGGGAAATGAGAGATGGGGATTGGCTCCTTTAGTAACTGGGACATAATCATGTTCATTTTCTTACTCATCAAAGATACGGAAGAGAAACCTAAACCTTCACTGAAATAGAATAACTTCCAGAAATATCTGCCCTGGTATAGCATATACTTTTTAATCATAAAGAACTTTGCCTCTTGGCCTTGGAATCAGTGACTCACTTACTGTATTTCTGTGAGCTGAATGCAAGAACAATCAGCTTCCGTGATGCTTTTGAGGAACTCTTAGGTTTCCTTCTAACAGTCTTGCTTTATCTACACTGGTTTTGCCCATGGGCTGAGAGGTGGGGGGTAGGTCCACTTTCAAGAGGGCCACACTCTTGGGCACAAGTAGGATAGAAAAAAGCATGGACCCAGCCTTGTGCGGGAACAGATTCATGTGTCCAGGGGGACCCCAATGAGAGTCCAGACTTTGCAGGCAGAGAGGCTGCCTCTGTCACTGGGTGGCACAGGGAAGGAGATGGCATTGGGCAAGACCAGAGTACTCCCAGCTCCTTCCCACCATGACAGCCATGGCCCCATTGGACTTCCTTTGGTATTTGTGATTTAGCATTATGGGCATCATCCTAATTTGTAGGACCCTCTGGAAGCCCCATGACTTTTGTTAAGACTCAGGTCTAAATTTAGGTTAGGCTGGAGGGATAAGTCACTGACATTTACCTAGCAAGGAGACCTTTTTGAGAAGTGACAAAAGGGAAACATGACACCAAAAGGGACTGGCTCCTGCTGGTGATGGAAGTGAAAAGAAAGTGAAAATAGTCTGGGAGGGGCTGGAAGTGGAGAGTTTTGCTGAGTGGCAGGGGCGGCTGCACTGGGCGTGACCTTTCTGGCCCATGTTCCCTGACTCCTCTTCTTTCCCTACTCTTTAGATAGCATGGTTGCCCCATGATCTCCTGAAGTGGCCTTGCTACTTGCTCTGGCAGAAAGGCTGGAGGGAGGGTCCACTGCAGGCACTTCCTGTCCTGCATTGACCTGGTTCCTCCAAGGCCTTAGCTGAGGTGTGGGGCACATTGTGTAGGCTCTCTGGGCTTCAGTGTCCACCCTGGAAGGGTACGGGGAAGGCCAAGAGAGAGAACACATGCAAATGGGGCCATGAGAGCCAGTGCTTGGCTCTTGGGGGGGGGTAAGATAAGCAGCCTTTCCTTCTTCTCCCCCAGCCCCAATTCTGCCCTGTGACATGCTTTCTGTCTCTTTTTTCTCTTTGACACATACATAGCCTGCAGAGGGGCAGGAGGGGACTAGAGTGGCTCAGGGGCCCTGGGATACGCCTGGCACCCCTGGAGAAATGTGGGCTGTTTCTCTCACTCTGAGCACATGGGCGGGGACTGGGAGACCCTTTAGGTTTAGTTCCAACTGTCACTCAGCCAGATTTCTCATGGCCACCTGCTAATGACACAAAGTATAGATGGATGCGTGGATGACTTCCCCTCCTGCCACTGGGGAAGAACACTAACCATACCAAGTGAAGGAGGAATGATAGATATTATGATCTTCATCCCTATAGAATAAGGCTCTGTGGCCTTTTGGAAGCCTCAACTTGTATATTAGGCTGCCTCTTTCTTAATTGGGATGTTATGTCTTCTGGGTCATGTATCATATATGGCTGTTTTATTACACATAAACTTACCTTCTCCACCTGAGTCCCTCAACATTGTATCTGCTACGACAACTATTGGTCTTCTTAATATATGGGCGAGAACAAACACATGGAACTCCTCTAGACTCTCGTACACGGGGTCCTCAGAGTTATCCACACTAGGAGACAAAGCAAAGCAAGCCTGAATTAGGGTGGGGGTTGTTGAAGACACCTTCCATCCAGATGTTACCTCTATGGACCCCACCTGTTGAGGCCCTCAGAGGCCACCTCCTTGCAATGCCACCCACTGATGGCAAAAACACAAAGCCCAGATCCTCACCCCCACCCTGTGTTGGGTGGTCCAGGGGACAATGAAAGAGAAGCTTCTGGTGATAGCTGGTGGTCACCTTTAAGGCAAGGCCCCCCTGATAACAGAGGCAGCCCACCCAGAGTGCATATGGCAACATGGGGGCTAGTTATCTGGGGACACTTAACAAGGATGCAGTGGGGGAAGCAGGGATGGAGGCTTCCTTTTTTGGTTCATTCTTATATCCAGCAGCTTGAGCTGAAGCCTTACCCACCAGGGGCACAGGTGCATCTGTGCATGTCAGGTGGGCTGATGGGGCCCATTGCTACACAGATCTGAGGTCTTTCTAGGAAATACTCCCCACCCCGGAACAGAAGAGGGTGGTGAGAAGGTTACCTGGATTTCAATCCTCAGAGCAGGAGGGGAGTGACTCTGAACCAGGCTACTTGGTCCCACCATAGCCTGCATCCCTGACTCATGTCTGAGGCTCAGGAGAAAGAGCTGCCTCCAAGAAATGCATTCACTTAGAACTCTGGTTTTGGGCAGAAGACTGTAGCCGGGAGTCCTTCAACAACCCAGCCACCCCAATGGAAGAGCCCATTGAGATGAGAGCCAGAGCTCACAGCTTGGTGGGGCCTCTGCAGCATCCATGGGTGCCAAGGTGGCAGCACTCACACAAGACCCTCAGGTGGCACTTGCACTTCTTGAGCACTTGGGTGACGTCCAGAATTAACCAAGGGAAGTCTGTGAGAACTGGAGCAAGGCGGGGGGGCAGAGCTAGCAAGTGGAGCTTTGTGGGAGCACCCAGGATGGGGTGGCCTGGGGAAATAGCTGTACCGCTCTGGCCCACAGCTAACTACTTGATTTACTTCTAGAACAAAAGCTGTGACTCTTCAGGAATGCATCAATCACCGGGGAATTTGTTGTTATTGTACCTATTTTTTTAAAAAAGTTTATTTATTTATTTTTGGTGATTCAAAATGCTTTATTTTTATATTTAAAAATACTTGACAGCAACCAAAAGATGATGAAAACTTGTGCATATAGTATAAATCTCTTTTTTGTTTGTTTGGAATCTTTTTTTTTTTAAGATTTTATTTATTCATTCATGAGAGAGAGAGATTGAGAGAGAGAGAGAGAGAGAGAGAGAGAGAGAGAGGCAAAGGGAGAAGCAGGCTTCATGGAGCTCAATGTGGGACTCAATTCCAGGACCCGGGGATCACAACCTGAGCCGAAGGCAGATGCTCAACTGCTGAGCCACCCAGGCATCCCTGTTTGGAATTTTTTGAAAGTAAATTGCCAACCTGAAATCCAGAATCTTGGAAAAGTTTGGGTGTTTAGCCTATGAACAGAACATTCTCCTACAAAACTACAATGCAGTCATCGAAATCAAGGGTACATCCAATCACTAATACACCAATAAATCTGATCACCATGACAGACCCCAGTCACAGTCTGCCAACTGTCCCCAAAATGTCTTTTAAACAGACTCCAGGGGCACCTGGGTGGCTCAGTGATTGAGCGTCTGCCTTTGGCTCAGGTCGTGATCCTGGGGTCCTGGGATTGAGTTCTGCATTAGGCTCCCCTTGAGGAGCCTGCTTCTCCCTCTGCCTATGTCTCTGCCTCTCTCTCTGTGTTTCTCATGACTGAATAAATAAAATCTTTAAAAAAAATAAACAAAGACTCCAGCATGCTGCTCTTCGTTGCGGTATCTCATTAGACCCCTTTGATCTAGGACATTTTTCTTGGGTTCCTTGACTTTTGTGACTTTGACACTTTTGAAGACTACAGGCCTGGTATTCTGCAGAATGTCTTTAGTCTGGGTTCCTTTATTTCTTGATGTGATTAGATTGTATTGGATTATGCTGTGTCCTTCTCGCAGTGTCATATCAGGTGGCCTGGGCCTTTGGACTGTCCCACTATTGGAAATGTCAACTTGGGCCATTCTCTTTAGCTGTTTGTCAGGCTTCCCACTATAGAGCTACTCATTTCCCCTCCATCATTAATAAGCATTATGTGGGGAGGAATTGTAAATCTATGTACATATTCTACTCCTCATCAAATCTTTATACATTGATTGATATCACCCTGGAATCCTGGTTTCTATTTTATTCAATGAGTTATAATCAATTGGTGATTATTTTGATGCTCAGATATGCCCTGCTTGGGTTAATGTGGCTCATTCAAGCTGTGTCCTTATGACACAGCCCCATCATTTTTCAGAGGGCTTCCTAGCCTTCTGACATAGAATATGGTCCAGGTTTATCTTTTTTTTTTAATAAAATTTTTTTAAAGATTTAAATTCAATTTAATTGACATATAGTGTATTATTAATTTCAGAGATAGGATTTAGTGATTCATCAGTTACATATAATACCCAGTGCTCATCATATCACCTGCCCTCCTTAAGGCCCATCACCCAGTTACCCCATCTCCCTGCCTACCTCTCATCCAGCAACCCTCAGTTTGTTTCCTAGAGTTAGGAGTCTCTTATGGTTTGTCTACCTCTCTGTTTTCATCTTATTTTATTTTTATTTTCCTTCTCCTATCTTCATTTGTTTTGTTTCTTAAACTCCACGTGTAAGTGAACTCATACGGTATTTGTCTTTTTCTGATGGACTTATTTCAATTAGCATAATACCCTCTAGTTTCATCCACGTCGTTGCAAATGGCAAATTTCATTCTTTTTTGATGGTTGAGTAATATTCCATTGTGTATATATATCTATATATCTATATCTATATCTATATATCTCCCACATCTTTATCCAGATTCATCTTGTACCTTCTCTTCAACCATTTCTCTAAGGAGTTTTTTTTTTTAATAGTGGATAATGGTGTTTAGAAACCAAAATATGATCATTAGTATTGGAATGTCATTGCTTCTAGACTCAGTGAATAGAGTGAATGCATGTGTGTGCTGTCTACACTCACATATGTATACAAATATTTTCATCTGTCATCTTTCTATTAACTTTGAGTCCTCTGATACTCCCAATTCCAATCTAACACCCCCAAGTTAATTCTACTCGTAACTCCCTTCTCCAACAGTGAGAAACCTGATTTCTATTAATCTTAAACTATTTCCTTATTTGATCAATCCCTCCATATGTAAGCAATTGCCCACCTCTGCTGTTACCTTGCCTCCAAGTTGTCCTCTTTACCCTACTGGATATGACACTCTGGCTTTGGTCCTCTGTGTCCTACTGACCCTCTACCTGCCCATTGCAGATGTTCACCTTGCTTTGCCACACCACATGGCTTTAGGACTGAATTTTTCAGGAAGGGAAGAGAAGTGGAAAAGGAGGGTTTTAAATATACATACACACACCAAGTCTAAATACAGTGCTTGTGGCTGTGCTTTTAAAAATATCCCAGGTGATTATCCTGTCCAGTCACAGCTGAGAGGAAGGCTACTGGGTGTGTGAGGTTCAAGTGCTTCCAGAAGCTGCTTGCTGGTCCCTGTCATACAGTAAGTGCTCACAAGCAAGTGGACAGTTGAACAAGATAATAAGTAGCATGGACAAGAGGGAACACAGAGTTACAACCTGCATACTCAGAGAAAAATATGTTAGAAATGTGGAGTGCTATTCCTTCACTAATCCAGGAGATGGAGAGGTCAGCCCTGGAAAGAGATGAGGCATTAGAAAGTCAGATATTAAAGCTGAGAAGAAGAAATGGCAAGGTGAGGGGCACCTGTCTCAGCCTGGGTTCTCAGTTGCACCTTTACTCCATGTAGGAACACTCTGGTGTCTAAATAGCTATGCAGAAAGGGCCTCACTGCAGCAACAGTGCAAGGGTTGACCATGTACCAGGCACAGACGTATTGCCATAGCATTCCACATGCAAAATTTAAAGCAGAGCCATTGTGTTTCAAATGGAAAAACTAGCCAATATTTACTGAGCACTTACACTATGCTGGAATGATAAAAGGCACTGTAGAGGCCCTCAATTAAGATCTGTCCCTCCACTGTTTAGCCATCCACCCATCCACCCACTTGTCCATACACATTCATCTATCTATCCACCCTCCATTCTTCCACCCATTCACCAATTCATTTGTCCATCCATCCATCCATCCATCCACTCACCCATATGTCTGTCCATCTCTGGTTCTGTGCTACAGCACAGAGTTATAGGGTTGAACATGAGAGCTAAAGATCAACTATGAGCCCTCAGTGAACCCTAGGGGCAGTTGGAGAATGATAATGTCCTTCCCTCCTTGCTTCTAGTTGATTGTTTGCATATTTTACAGAGTGTGTTTGAACTGGAGGTGGGTGCTGTTTCTGCATTTACTCCTCAAAACCACAGACATGCTCTAGTGCTCCTGGAGCCTTGGTGTCTATTCCTGTTCTATTGAATTCAGGCTGAGAACATTGGCTCAGCAACTCCTCAGGCTGTTCTGATGGGCAAAAAGGATAATTTACGGGACAAGACTTTGGAACTGAGACCTGCCTATGTAGATTACTGTGACTGAGCCCACTTGCAGAAATCAGCTTGGTGAAACCAATTCTGAAAATTCTCTTCTGCTTTTTACCCAGAGGCTTAACATCATCTTCCTGTGAGCTCACTGAGCAAATGTTAGTCCTGGGATTGTAAACAGAATCTGGCTTTTGGGAAAAGACATGTAAAAATCCCTAAAATTGGTGTTTACTGGTAAGAAGACTAACCTGCAAATATAATGACTTCATGCTTAAAGAGACTGCATGCCCCAACAACTTCCTAATGTGTTCTGTGATATAACAACATGTGCACTTGTCTGCAAGGTATATCCAGGTAGAGAGAAGTCCTGAGAATAAGGTTACACCATTAACCTGGTGAAAATCCCCTGGGGAAGACAGAGTGAAAGGTGACCAGAGCAGAAGTTGGGCTG